GAACTGCTCATCATTCAAATCGGAACTAAACAAATCATCCTCAGACGGATCCTCTGGGCTATCCGGGCTAACCAGACTCAAAAACCGCCGACTACTAACCGGCGCGGAGGGCGGATACCCAATCCGCGACGTGACAGACAATGGCACAACCGTATCAACAAGATCGTGATCCTCATACGTCGCCCGTCGCGCATCAGCAACAGCCTTACTGTATATCGCGCGCATCTTGGCCGGGCTATCACGCGCAGTGCCACACTTCACAACCCACAATATGCCCTCGCGGTCAGAAACAGGCGCTTGCATAATAGCCCCGTCAACAGGTTCCCGTACAATTGGCTTCCAGTGGCGGTCGAAGACGGGGTGTGCAGGCCGTGGGTTGGGACAGTTGATATAGTGCATCACGTCCTGGCTTCCCGTCGAATGGCCCATAATAACCACCTTTCCGGCGCCGAATTGTGGCTCCTTGTACTTGCGGATGTACAAGACGCACTGCGATAGCTCGTCGATGTCTTTGCCCAGTCGTCCCATGCCCCACCCGCCGCCGGCGCAGGATAGGATCAGCGAGAATACGCTCCATTTGGAGGAGTCAAGTGCGCGGACGACGTCGCTTAAATAGTCGACTGAGCCGAGGCTGTCGCCTAGCCCCCCAACAAACACGAGTGTGTGGGGCTTGGGTACATGGCTGCGAGTGTATTCAAAAGCGACGAGGGTTTCGGTCTGAGGTGGCATTAGCAGTGTGGATGGCTTGGCTGCGGAGGTGGGTGGCGTACGCAGTGGTGTAACACACCGGGCTGTCCCTGTGCCAGTGAGGTGAGTAGCTTAAGTTGCATTATGAGATATTTCGTGCTGCAGGTACTGATACCCAAGTGCAGATTGGTTTAACAATGTGCGTCAGATCAGATAAGAGATCAGATAAGGAGCGACAACGGACTTGTTCCGATACCGGCTTCGCGAAAAACGGTAAATATGGGAGTTAGGGCTTGAATATATACTACTTGGTAACTACCTAGATATGTTCTTGGTATTATATTACCAATTCCCGGCATCGGAATTTAACTTTCATATTTCGCTCGAGTTGATCATCCCTATGTCAGCTTAGCCAATGTCAAACAGAAAAAAAGAATAAACCGAAGTCATCTATCTTTATCCTTGGTATATAAGACGAACTAACTTCCAATGGAATCTCGTTGACTGGCGGCCAAAAGCAGCGAATTGCAGTCGCGCGAGCTCTAATTAGAGATTCTAAGGTCTTGATCCTCGACGAAACTACAGCTTCCGTCAACTCCAAGAGCAAGAAGGGGATTTTGCAGCCGTTGGGTGTTGTTGTAAAGGAAGAACCATGATATGAATTTACTATCGAGGTCTAGGCTCTGGGCTTTATTGAGAGTTCGATCTTTCATTGTTGATAATATTTCCTTTGAATCGGCTCACAAGATAGCTATGGCGAACTGTAACTGTGCGGGCGCGGCCGGGGCTCCTCCTTCACTGCTAGACGAGACAGCATCGGATTAGGAGGAATCTGAAAATAAAGACAGCAAATGTCAGTATGCGCAGACTTCTTTCGGCCTTGTGATACACTTACAGCAAATCTGCAGTCCCACATAGAAGTCTCCTTGTCTTCTCTAGATGATATGAGCATCATTCCGAGGCTACGAGCCTGGGTAGGTATACTGGTGTACTCACGATATGCGCTGCCGAGATATGTCTCTTTACCCGTGCCGGGCAAGGTCGCTCCTCCACGTTATCGAGAGCCGTGCAATATGGGCACCTGAAGGCACATGCAGGGATTTCCTTTCGAAGGCCGACAAGAGTTAGCCATGTCTTGAAATGTTACCTCTTGTGGTAACTTGGTTTAGAATACTCACGATCAGCACATGGTCAACCGGCCACTGGGTTGAGGAGTGTTGTCGGCATTCACACACTTTCTTGCGTTGGCTCCAGCATTTGCGCGTGAGTATATATCAACCGAAGGACTTAGGGGAAGTATGCTTACACCCAGTAATTAGGTTGCACTTTGGGGTCGATTCTCGTCCAGTAGAAGCCCCGGAGCGGGCTGCCGTCGCTAGTGATCCAAGGATTCGTGAGGTCCTGAGACTTGGAGGCCATCCTGCTTGAAACAAGACACTTGGTTAGCAACTCGGCTCTGATGCGCTCTGGATGGAAGTTCAATGTCTGAGATGCAAGACTAAGGTCTCCCAGTATCAATCGAATCAATCGGGCAAATGGGATGATATACGTGCCTGGTGGGTCTCGCAGTGCAGACTTGGTTTAGCGATGCAGATATGGTTATGCGATGGTGAAAAGCCAGTGCAAGCAAACGATAGTACGATGACTTGGGAGAATACCCTGGGGCACCGAACTCGTCGTCTGGCAAGCCACCTGAGATCAGACAGTTGAAACAACGTACAAATGGCAGCGAGGAAAGAGCGAAATTGGACGTTCTCAGACCACAAACAATATCAAGGTCATACATACTCTATAGCATGAAGCTGTCACAGGAATGTCTTCAGATGTTTATATTACTCTAAGAGAAACAAAAGAATTGTCCCGCTATCGACTCTCCTCCTCAACACATTACCAACAGGGCCACACTGCTCCGATTCAAGGCCTTAATCTGTCTTGTCTCAGGACCACATATCCAGCGCGGCACAGAGAATGATTACAACGTTGTTCGCGTAACAACTCCATCAGTCACAGGTCGATGTTGACTTTAACTCTACTCCTTTGCTGTAGGGCGAAACTGTCGAGAGATCGAAAAGTCAAAGCGGTTAGATGGGACAAAAATTAAAACAGAAGATTATATCGAAAAAAAGGTGAGATGCTTGATATTCCATTTCTGGCGTTCGAAATATCAACCGGGGGTTGCAGTCATGTCCTGAAGTCCGATAGGAGATTATGCACGCGAGAACCAATAAGAGACATTTTTTGATTTTGTCCTTCCTCTCACACCATGGATATCACGAAACATCTCAATTTGACATCACCTCCTCACCCTTTCGATTGTCCTCTCCTATTCACTTACACCTCGCATCTGATCATTTGCAATGAATAGTCATGCTCGAGACCCGGAGCAAGGCGGAGAGATCACAACACGCGAAAATGAGGCCAGACCTATCCTCAAACGTACTCTCGCGGGCGAAGACAATGCCAAAACGCAGGCAGTCATTTCCGAGCTTGCCCAAACAAGAAGAGGGCTGAAACAACGCCATATTCAGATGATAGCCCTGGCTGGAACGATCGGTACTGGCATCTTCCTAGCGACCGGAAAATCCCTAGCAAGGGGTGGACCACTAAGCATGTTGCTCGCATATTGCATTGTGGGCATGCTTATCTGCTGCGTGGTATTTTCCGTAGCGGAGCTCAGTGCTCTGGCGCCTCTTTCCGGTGGCATTATACGACATGCAGAATGGTTCGTCGACCCTGCGCTGGCGTTTGCGCAAGGTTGGAATAGTGTCTATGCAAATGCTATCCTGCTGCCGGCTGAGATGGTGGCTTGTGCTGTCATTATCGACTTTTGGTCTGATGTTAACCATGCGGTATGGATTAGCATCCTTGGTGCACTGCTGATTATTAGCAACATGCTATTGGTCAGTATTTACGGCGAGTTGGAGTTCGCTTTTGCAATGCTCAAGATTGCTCTGATTGTTGGTGTGAATATAATGGCAAGTAAATCTCGCTGCGCGAAGGATGTTCTGGTTGGTTTCTGACTGCTTTTCATATAGAGTATCTGCATCACCTCTGGCGCAGGCCCACAGGGTTATCCCATGGGGTTTCGATTTTGGCGAGACCCTGGACCCTTTGTGGAGTTTCTTGGTATTGATGGCCCATGGGGACGGTTCCTTGGATTTTGGCGTGTTCTGAGCAGTGCAGCTTACGCATTTTCCAACGTCGAGAACGTATCGGTTGCAGCAGCTGAGACACAGAATCCTCGCCATAACATCCCCAAGGCCGCCAAACGCGTGTTCTGGAGAATCCTGATATTTTATCTGATCACCATTTTTATGATGGGCCTTATTGTCCCCTCCAATGATAAGGGGCTGATGTCAAATTCTGGGGATGCTGGAGCATCTCCATTTGCGATTGCTGCCACTAACGTCGGGATTAAAGCGGTACCTTCGATTATTAACGCTGTCGTTGTCACAAGTGCATGGAGCGCTGGTAACTCTGGTGAGCAGGAATTCTCTGTCGGCTACTCTACTTCTACTGACCCGAAGACAGCAATGCTCGTTGGAACCAGAACGCTGACTGGTCTAGCTCAAGAGGGACATGCCCCAGAACTATTCACTCGCATCAATCGCTTCGGTGTCCCCTGGATCTCTGTTGCAGCAGTCGGATCTTTTCTTGCCTTAGGGTATATGACACTATCGTCCGCAGCTTCTGTTGTGTTTGATTGGCTCCAGCAACTGGTCTCAGCTGCCTCTCTAGTGCATTGGATCAATATAGAGCTGATCTACTTGAGGTTCTTTTATGGCTGCAAGAAGCAAAAGATCAGCCGCACTGAACTTCCTTGGAGAAGCCCCTTTCAACCTTACGCAGCGTGGATTTCTCTGGTTTCTTTCAGTATAATTTTGCTTACTGGCGGATTCTACGTGTTTATCGAGGGCAATTGGAGTCCTCGAACCTTTGTATCGTCATACTTCAACATTCCGCTTATATTTGTCTTATATTTTGGATACAAGTTTTGGCGAAAGACCCGGGTTGTTCCGCTGGAAGAAATTCCGATCCGGGAATTCCTTCGCATCGCTAACGAAAATCCGGAATCCATTCCATCTCCAGCTACAGGGTGGCGGAAATTAAACATCCTTTGGGCTTGATTCTGGGGGATTCGGAATGGGGCTATGGGAGAAGGAAAGAAGAATGTTACAATCTGGGCCAAATGGTCCGATTATCTTTCGAGCGTCCATTTAAACTACCCAAATATGCACGTTGTCTACCGGAACAAGACTCTAACCTTCTTTTTAGAAGAGTCTATCTACTAGTTACCTAGAGGCAGAACAGTCTTACTCAATCCCAAATCGCCTAGCCACCTCTCGGAAGCCATCAGACTCAAGATCAACCAACATATCCACCCAACCCTCAGTTTTGGCCTTCGCAGCCTGCTCCTTTGACATCTCTTCCTCCAGCTCACGGTCGACATAGATAGTCTGAAACCCGCAGCTCTTGGCAGCCTTTAAATCGTGCAAATGCGCCGCAACCAGTCCGCACTGGCCTGGCTCCAGTCCAAACTTCTTGGCAGCCCCATTATAAACCAGCGGAGAAGGCTTGTAAGCCCCGAAATTCTCTGCACTAACAAGATGCGTGAAAGGCAGTGATCCATGTCGCTGGAGATCCTGCAACAAAGAGATATTCCCGTTCGACAGGGTAGAAGTGGCGAACCGACGATTCAATAGCTCAAGACCTTGGACACTATCCGGCCACGGGTTGAGCCGGTGCCAGGCGAAAGCAAGTTCCCACAGCTTCTCGTCAGCGAACAGGCCGTCCAGACCGCGCTGTCGCAGGAGGTCCTGAAGGGCATTATAGTGGTGCTGATCGACTGACACGAACTTGTTGGATGGATCAAATGTACCGGTAAATACATTGTAAGACTGCCGCCATTCTGCGACAAACGCTAGCCAGTCATCCCAGGTCATGGCTGCAGCGCGGTCCCGCACATCGGCTGGGAGGTCCTTGCGGGGATGGTTCACAGCATCCAGGGCGGCTGCGCTCAGCTCTTCGGCGACGCATGTACGCCACGACACTACTGTGCCAAATGTATCGAAAAATAACATCTGGGGTGGGTGGTCTGTCGACATTTTTGTGTAGTTGATGTTGGTGTAGTTGGGGTGGAGATGTGATAGTTGATATGCAGCTATTCCCCGCACTTTCGAGGTTATGTCGGTTTCCGAGCTCTTCCCAGTTGGGATGTTAACGAAATTGAGATCCCAGCTAGAGATATATGTAGGTCAGAGTGAAATCGCATCTATTCATATGCGCCGATCTCCAGGGCTCTTGACCTCGGGACGCAAATATGCTTAGTCAGTCCGGTTAATCGCATCTCCAGATCTAACGGCCTGATTGTTCTGGCGGGATGATCTTATCGGATTAGAAAGGGAAATGGTTTTAGTTTTTTTTGGAACTTGTCTCGAAACAAGCATTGTAATAAGTTCGAGTACTTTCCAAGGTTTTGTCGAGCGCTGTCAAGGAATGTGCATTGGAGGACATTCTGCTTGTTGTTTTCCGCCTTCAACTTTCTCCTTTACAACTCAAGCAAATCATCACGGCCATTGTCAATTTGACGATCTTTCATTGATTATCAATGGCCTTGCAGACATACTTTGTACATTTTCAGCCCTCCCGTGTTGTTGGAGTATCGCCTGCGCCTCCGGACTCGACTCGCCACTAGCGCTATCGGAAACACAAAGAAACTGAGCAGGGATATTATGAAATATCAGCAAATATCGACCTGTCAACGGCCCGCGTCCGTGTCAAAAGTACCCAGTGGTATCTCCTGAGGCCAGTGGGGCAAATGGGTGGCACTGGTTCGCGGAGTCCTTACTCCTTCGTGTCAAGCCCCGTTAGTCCGATTTTCAATAGCAATTTGGGGGCTTGACATGCAGAGTCTTAGACATGACAGACTCCATACTCAGTACGATACGACAATAAAGCATTTATTGCCAATCATTGGCGATTGTCATACGGCTCCAACGTTAACTGTGCGACCAGCACTTGCATCGACATATGCAAGAGAAACCCAAATCCAAGGCCATAGAGGCCATGGAGCGCGTACCAGACTTCCCACCATAACAATGGAAGTTTGGTTCTTCATTTCGGCCGATGTGGGTTCCTCGTTCTTCGAAGCTCTCAGTGGAGACCTTGGATGGGGCTGGTTTTTACCCCTGATCAACAATGTCCGCACACGATGATTTGACTACTTATCGATTTGGTCTCCTTGGGAAGAAGCGTCAAAAGGAATCAAATACAATGCAACATGCAATATATGCAATGCACCCGAGGCACTCTGAAACCAAACAGGCTCTCATGCGAAATTGTCCACGGCGATCGTCGCCCAACGAATCGGCCAACACAGCCATTTAATTATATTCTCAAACACGCTAACCATCCCTATTTTAGTGTCTTCGGAATCGACACTATTGGTCATTGCGAATACATTTCTTCCTTTTCTGATTTGCCTTCAACTTTATCACCAAAAAGAAAATAGGGGGTGATCTTCGCAGCTCAAGCCCTTGGGCTTCATCATCCACACGCGCACTTTCGGAGCATCCCAGGCAGTTAATTTATGAATCCTAATACGCTCTCGACCTTTTGATCAATACTAGCTCAAGATTACGGCTCCATTTTAATCCCTTTTTACCTTTCTTTGTTTCTTTGTTTCCAGATAATCAGCTGCTCCATGGCCTTTGAGATCAACAAGATACAATACGGAGTATAAACTCTGGTCTATGTTTATCTCTCGCGAACAGACCCCGAAAACGTTTTATACGGATATCTTCAAATTGATTGGAGCTCAAATGTCTTAGTGTCTGGCAGCTGCAGTGGAGTCTTAATCCTACGGGCTAATCGGGTGGATTCTTTTCTTTCCCCATATGCCCCCTAACGAACGCCCCTGGCACCTTTTCCTCTCTTTCTTTTGGATGCGCCAAAGCCCGAGACTCTCCTCGCGTCCGTGTCTCCGATACAGGTGTGCCGCAAGGCTGATCTAAATCCCCTAAGGTCTTTTTCCGCAATCTACGGTCAAGGCCCCAACCCCTCTCAGATCATTGCCTTCGTAAGTAGATCTACTGGCGAGGATCTTGAGAGATTCTCTAATTGCGATCGGCCCTCACATCGTTCAGACTGATCTATTTTCCCTGTGATCGGCCATACCTCCCGCGTTGACATCTTACTCGTCTCTTAAGCTAAAACGGTCAGACCTGTCTGTCACTGGAGTAAGCTCAACATAGAGTTAGGGTGTCTCTCTCCCCAACATCGGCATTGGGCCGGCTCAAACGTGTATCCCGTTGTAACTGTGGCTGACCTCTTCGTTCCACCAAGTTCCACAAAGTCCCAGCTTTGAATCCCCCCTCCATCCCGCGTTCGAACAGTCGATTACACCAGGTGAAACCTGTCTCTGAAGACAGATCAGCACCGGCTTCAAAACAGTCAATAGTCGGATGGTTGAATTACGGTAGTCTTTTGATGGGATCCAGTGCATGAAGTGCTCTGGCTAGCCCAAGGAGCAGAGCCCCGGTGATGGTTTGAAGGTTTACATCCCGCACATGCGCAAAGAGAGATGGCCGATTTACAGTCCCCGGCCTCCATGGCCCACCCGTCCCCGACACCATCCTCCAGATCCAGATCTCGAGCTCCATCCAAAGGAAGGTCAAGATCAAGGCCATCTTTGCGCCGGCAAGATTCCTCCCCACCGCCTTCCTCTCCACCTGGCCTCCCAACCCCCGCATTCTCCCCCGGCGGACAAACAGACGAAGATGATATCGATATCACCGAGGATACCTTATCACCTTTCGACCCGCGCAGGATCACACCTACTCTCCATGCATCTCTCGTATCGGAGATTCTATCGCTACGGCGAGAAATAGAGAACAAAACCAAGGCAATCGACGGATTGGAAGAGAGCTTGGACGAATCAAGGACGGAAAATGAAACATTGGCGGCGAACCTCTCCCAGGCCACCTGGGAAGGGCGCTCGTTGAAACACCAAATCCAACTACTGGAAGGTGGGACATCATCTGCGATGACTGAGCTAGCTCGGGAGCGCGATGAGGCGGTTGAGAACATCGGCGATGTTCGTAAAAAGCTCGAGCAGGCACAGAAGAAAACTCGCAGCCGGGAGGAGGACGTCGAACGAACCCAATTGCTCTGGAATCGCGATCAAGAGTCTTGGGCGGATGAACGCCGAGCCCTGGAGCGCAAGGTTCACGTAGTGGAGGGCCGCTTGAAGATCGTTTTGAATGAGGTCGCGGCCGCCCAGGAAGTGGCGACTATCCACTCGCATTCACAGCCGAGTGAAAATGGGGACGTTGTTCATGACAAAAATAAAGAAAGCGACTCGGCCAGTGTGGCATCTAGTAGCCTAGGCCGCCGACGCACGAGCGTAACCAGCATGAGCTCGGAAGAAATTGAAGAGGCGGTCATCCTCAATAACGTGCGGTACTCGATTAGGAGTGTCGCGCCTGGAGTCAAGAATAGTTCGGGTCTGAACTTGGCGGAGGAACTCGACTTCGATGAAGAGGAAGAGTTTGTTCCATCTGACGATGAAGCCCCCGCCTCCCCGGAGGCGCTCCCTGAAGAACGTCCAATGTCGGTTCATTCACAAGGGTCGCATAGTATTTCTTCCAAGGCCAGGAAGATACTGGGTCTGTCCCTTCAGAGCTCGGACTTCCACTCACCCACTGCCATGGAGTTCCGTGCCCGGGAACTCGGGCTTGCTAGCCCAGTGAAACTTGACTCGGCGGTCGAATACCGCGATATGGGCATCCAGTACTCACCTCCTCCGTCGCCTACGATAGAAGCGAAGGTAGTATACGACCTAGTTCCTGAGTCCACGGAAACGGCTTCAGAGTCCGAGAAAGAAGACAGCCAGAACGCGAACATATCAGGAACGAAGGACAGCGCCACGGTCCCTGTTGCACCTCCAATGGTTTCTAGTTCTTGTCAAACTGTGGATGAGCCCCCAACTCCTCCATCGACGCCCAACGTGGCTGAGTCGCCCCAACCTGTTGAATCCACAACAGAACCGGTACGAATGACATCGGCATCTACCCAGACTGATGTCGTTTCGGAAACAGATGTTGTTCAAAGCGAGAATTGTGTCAACTTGTCCCCGAACGACGTCTCACCGAAGATGGATATCCCAATGATCGCTATCCACCCACCAGGCTCAGAGCCATCCTCACCTCGGAACAGTGTCGTTCTTCCACCGCAAACCAGGAATATCGCTTGTCAGGCCAACTTCCGGGCCATTGCTGATTGTCGATCCGTCGCCATCCAAACCGAGGAGATCCGTATCGATGAACGCCCTGTCAAACTTCCCGCTAGCCTTCTTCCTTCTGCTATTCAAGATGCACTACCTTGCCCTGAACCTCAACAGCCTAGCCTCGAATCTTACACTGTGCCCCCGCTTCCGCCACGGTCCGAAAAGCGAAAGCAGAGACATCTGATAACAAATCAGCCGACAGATCGTCCCGTGAAGCCTCCTAGGGCACCTGGTCCAGATCATGTGCAGGCCTACCCCGGTAACAACGACAATGGTCCGCTCTCGGATGATGCCTTCACCAACATTCGACGGCCTTTACGGTCTAGCAGTCTCTTCGCCGGCTTTGAGCACAATAGCGACGATGAAGGCCCCCATGGCGAGCGTGATGTCTTCACCGACGACGAGCTCCTCACCCGCCCATTTGCTGCATACACTGTCAGCCGTGGCAAGCTCATCACTACGAAATCAAGACCCGGCTTGGACAATATGCCGCTTCCCGAAGTCGACGAGCAGCTGTCTTCCCCGGAGTCAAGACCGCCCGATATTGGTCGTTCTCGGGCTTCCCAACGGTCTGGCACGGCCTCCTCGAGCATTCGCCAGCCCGGCATGCGCAAAATGGCCATGATCTCTAACGGGACCGCCGCCCACCAGAAGCCCCGTGCCCGCAGTCCCAGCGAACCAAGCCTTGAGAGCGGCAGTGCAGGATCAAGCATTGCACCGCCATTCCCCGTTCCCATCCGTCTCAGCTCACGCAACCTCCCGCTCAACGGCAGCGACGGACCTCCAAGTCCTACTCGCTCAGCCGGCAGACAGTTCTCA